ACCCACTCTATCCTTATTACAAACATGTTCGTGTATTGCTTCAAACTGGTCTTTTCGCATACGGAGATGATAATGACTGTGGCGGCGGAACAAGCGATGAAGTAATAAGTTCGGCAGATGAAGAGTCTGGAGGTGATGATTCCTCGACGGTAAAAGATAGTAAGAAGCGGAGAATGATAAACGAGTCAAATTCATCCAATTCCAAAAGTGGAAGTTCCACTTACGTTCAGAGTAATCAGATGAATTCTGGAACCTCGAAAACTCAACAACAAAAGTTTTGTGTAGTCGTGTACGTATACGTATATGATCTCTACTCCTTCATCGTCAATTCATTTCACATATCTACTGCTCATAATATCTAGGGTGCCACCACCTGATCTCAAGGCTATAATCGATAAAATGTCTGCATATGTGGCAAAAAATGGACAATCTCTAGAAGCCAAAGTTAGAGAAAAACACATAGATGATCCTCGATTTAGCTTTTTATTACCGTGGAATGAGTTTCATCCTTACTATAAAAAGAAAATTCAGGATGAAAAGTTGACATTTGATTCGGTTGAAAACGGTCCCGCGAAGACCAGCGATTCGTGATCGCATGCTATTCCTGGTGATTGCACGGTAATATTAAATGCGCACCAGAATTTCGTGATTAAATGATCATACACCCTAATTCTAATTCTTTTTTTAACGTTAGAATTTGGCGCTTGGAGTAAACAATGAAAATTCTTTCTTTGGGGAAAAGAATTCATTTGTTTTTGCGGTTAATTGCGCTCGACGGACCACATAATACTCATGGCATTTTTCTTGAATAAAGTATCCAACAACCGAGAAATAGTTTATACAAATTTCTTAATCTAATGAATGAACTGTTTGAAAGTGAGAGAATGGTGAACCAAATAAAAATCAAAATAAAACTTGTAAAAATATCTTTATTCAATTGTATAGGATAAAATACAGTACAATATAGAATATACAGTATATATACATATCGACTCAGTAAAGTTGTGAAAGTTGACATGAATTCGTTCCTTCAGATCACGTAAACTAATCTACCTAATCACCCCACCTATATACAGTCAAACATATTAATCAAAATTTTTACCAGCAAACTCTCCAAGCTTATCGGCTATACTACTAAGCCTTTGTTCATCTTGCACTTCCGTGATGATTCTTTCTCCTGATGGACTACCTATTATTTGCTCGTTTTCTCCTGACCCGCTTGCCACATTAATCTCAGAATGTATACTTTCAAGCGAATTACGAAGTCGATTTCCCGAATCTCCAACTATTATTGACTCAGTCGAATAGTTAGGACCCAACAGTGGTACGCTTTCTTCAACAGAACGAGCATTTCCACTATCCATGCCCAACAATTGCCCGAAGAACTTAAAATGTTTTGCTCTCTTTAAATCTGTTCCTTTAACCGGTAGCCACAACCAAGGAAGTACTCCGTAAAGTTCAGGTGCACCGTAGTTACGTATTCCGGTGTCGAGTACACCATCGTGTAAAGTTATAGGTGGTTGACTATAGTCAGTGTAAAAATCTGGGGTAGCACGATAAATGTCATTATCCAATGTCCTCCTCGAATGAAAATCCTTACGTTGTGGCGGTGAAACTTGGTTGTGATGCAACGTTTCTTCATTTTCAACCAGCGTCGGTGGTACAGGTGCCAAATTTACATCGTCAACCTTACTTGCCGATCTATTTTCCTCTTCCCTTAGAGTCTTCAATGGGATGAAGGCAGCACTTCGATTATATGCTTCGTTTACATAATAATAAAAGATAGCTGTGATAATGGGGATCGGAGTCAGACTACCAGCCATGACATAACTTTTCCTCAAAGACATATATCCAATCATCATGATCTGATAGATGTACAGCCCAACAATGATTCTGTGGAATATCTTTGGCCACGCAAGTCCGGCAGTTTCGTAAGGATGAAAATATACTGAAAAAATCATGCATGTTAAGACCTGTACTTCTTTTTTTTTTCGAAAGGAAGAAAAACTTTTAATCTCATACCATATAATAACAAATACTTATGCGTCATATAACCGAAGAAGAAATAGATCGTGCCAAAAAGAAGAATTAGAGGAGTGATCGAGGAATATACAAGGATAACAACAAAAACCAATATAATGGGTGGTAATCTTTGTCCGTAATCTAGGAACGGTGGAGCATTGGCTTCTGCGTATTCACGAGGTGTTCGTGCAAGGAAAGTGCGCGTGAACCATGCCGAAAAAATTTCTGGTCCTTGCAATAACTGAACCGGAAACAAGCCAATCCCTTGTAGAATGACAAGGTTCACAAAAAAGTTCGACACCTTTACCAGGAAGCAACATTTCATCAATAAAATCAACTTGAAGAAATCTGCAGTCATTAAAATGCATCAGTATCTTCATACCAGAGGTAAAGTTGTTGCAAGCAAGTACGGGATTTTCGTCGGATCTTTTATAATCTCTTCAATTTCCTTAAAAATCTTGGCAATAGTGCCCGCAATGGAAAATATAAGCAAAACATTCACCAGTAAGAAAAAATAGTACCTAAAAAAAATCGAGGTTAATACAAATTCCGATATGATAAAACGGATAGGGTAAATGATGCATACTTTGCGAATGTTGAGAGTTCGATCACACTGCGAGCATGAAATCCCTGAAGCCCAGAAAAAGCTTTAAAAAAAAAATTCACGATACATTTAGCAATTTGTAGAAACGTTTACATAGTTCACTATGAATACGGACATCTCATGGTTTTTGGTAATAAGAAATTGAATGATTGCACCAAAAGTGTCGGAAGTGTTCCCTGAATGAATCCTTTTAATATTTCATTTCGATTCGCCAAACGTGCTAACCAAGGTAATGTCTTGGTCAATGCTTCCAAGCTCAAAATGGAGCTAATAAACGTAAATATGACAGACCAG